CCGCACCGCATCGGGGGCTACCGCTTCCGCACCGACATCACCTTCGACGAGCTGGTCGACGTCTGCGGCGAGTACGCACGGGTGATGACTGTGCGGGTCGAGAAGCTCATCTGCGACGCGCCCGCGACGCTGCGGCTCCTGCCGCCCGTCACCGATAGCGATAGAAAGGAATGGGTGAGTGAGCTAACACAGACAGGCACAGAGAGAGTCGTGGGTCGTGTCTGGTGGCTCATTTATGTGGTGTTGTGTGTGTGTGTGTGTGGATGGGTGTGCAGAGGTTGAAGAACGACGACGGTCGTGTGGAATGGGAGGCGTGTTACGGCACCTGGTCGGTGGTGGCGAGCCAGCGCATGGACTACGAGGTCACCATGCGCCCGGGGCTGTTCGACCCGGCAGACGACGCACTCGCACAGTTCTACGCCAAAACCAAGAGGTGAATGACCGCCTCCACAGGCATCCACGGACGAGTGTGTGTGTGTGAGTGGATGTGTGTGTGTCTGGATGTGCAGGTGTCTAGCGTACGTTGACCCGTTGGTGTGGCAGGAGTATGGCCATCACATCAAGGCCTACTTCGAGGCGCACAACATCGCAGCTCGGTTCGTACCGTGCGCTGCACCGGAGGAGAACAAAAACCTTGAGGTACGCCTGAGATACAAACACACACAGAAGGCCCTTTGACACATTGTCCCATGTGTGTGCGCGTGTGTGTGTGTGTGTGTGTCAGTTGCTGGCTGCCGGTGCGCAAGCCATAGTCGATTTCGGTTTGGATCGTCGGCACGAGCCTGTCTTGGCCATCGGCGGCGGTGTGCTGATGGACGTGGTGAGTTTGCTGTCGTCTCTGTACAAGCGCAGGGTGCCCTTCATCCGCATCCCCACCACTTTCCTCGGCATCGTCGACGCGTCCATCGGCGTCAAGACGGGCGTCAACTTCGGCAAAAACAAAAACATGCTCGGCACCTACACGCCGCCCAAGGCCGTCTACATCGACACGGCCTTCCTCCGCACAGTTCCCGCACTCCACATCAGAAACGGACTCTGCGAGATCATGAAAATGGCCCTCATGCGTGACAACGAGCTCTTCGCACTGCTGGAGGTACACGGGCGGCACATCCACGCACGGCTTGCCTGTGTTGACACATCCTTCTATCTGTGTGTATGTCCCGATATCTGTGTGTATGTCCCGCGTGCCTGTCTGGTTTAGGATTTTGGTGAGCGTTTGATCGAGACGCGTTTCGGGCACTACACGGGCGGCGTGGGGGCGACGATGCCGGCTGCCGAGCTGTCGCAGGTGTGGGAGGCCGGCCAGGAGGTGATCCGCAGAGCCATCCACACGATGCTCGAGGAACTCTCCTGCAACCTCACCGAACAAAACCTATACCGGTAAGCCAAACACAGACATTCGCAGAGCCAGCACACACAGCTGTACATAAAGCCTTCCGTTTGTCTGTGTGTGTGAATGTCAGTTGCGTTGATTTCGGTCACATCTGGGGCCCCGCTGTGGAGCTGGCGGCCTCCCCGCCCATCCCCCATGGGTTTGCGGTCAACCAGGACATGGCCTACTGCGTGTACCTGAGCTACCGGGGCGGGTCGCTCACATGGGAGGAGGCGTGCCGCGTATGGCACTGCATGGACCGCCTGGGCCTGCCGCGCAGCCACACCTACTACCTCGACCCCTCCCTGATGCACCCCACGCTCATGAAGATGCAGAAGACCCAGGCCGGCATGCACAGGGTGCCCATCCCGCACCGCATCGGGGGCTACCGCTTCCGCACCGACATCACCTTCGACGAGCTGGTCGACGTCTGCGGCGAGTACGCACGGGTGATGACTGTGCGGGTCGAGAAGCTCATCTGCGACGCGCCCGCGACGCTGCGGCTCCTGCCGCCCGTCACCGATAGCGATAGAAAGGAATGGGTGAGTGAGCTAACACAGACAGGCACAGAGAGAGTCGTGGGTCGTGTCTGGTGGCTCATTTATGTGGTGTTGTGTGTGTGTGTGTGTGGATGGGTGTGCAGAGGTTGAAGAACGACGACGGTCGTGTGGAATGGGAGGCGTGTTACGGCACCTGGTCGGTGGTGGCGAGCCAGCGCATGGACTACGAGGTCACCATGCGCCCGGGGCTGTTCGACCCGGCAGACGACGCACTCGCACAGTTCTACGCCAAAACCAAGAGGTGAATGACCGCCTCCACAGGCATCCACGGACGAGTGTGTGTGTGTGAGTGGATGTGTGTGTGTCTGGATGTGCAGGTGTCTAGCGTACGTTGACCCGTTGGTGTGGCAGGAGTATGGCCATCACATCAAGGCCTACTTCGAGGCGCACAACATCGCAGCTCGGTTCGTACCGTGCGCTGCACCGGAGGAGAACAAAAACCTTGAGGTACGCCTGAGATACAAACACACACAGAAGGCCCTTTGACACATTGTCCCATGTGTGTGCGCGTGTGTGTGTGTGTGTGTGTCAGTTGCTGGCTGCCGGTGCGCAAGCCATAGTCGATTTCGGTTTGGATCGTCGGCACGAGCCCGTGTTGGCCATCGGCGGCGGTGTGCTGATGGACGTGGTGAGTTTGCTGTCGTCTCTGTACAAGCGCAGGGTGCCCTTCATCCGCATCCCCACCACTCTCCTCGGCATCGTCGACGCGTCCATCGGCGTCAAGACGGGCGTCAACTTCGGCAAAAACAAAAACATGCTCGGCACCTACACGCCGCCCAAGGCCGTTTACATCGACACGGCCTTCCTCCGCACAGTTCCCGCACTCCACATCAGAAACGGACTCTGCGAGATCATGAAAATGGCGCTGGTGAAGGACTACAAGCTCTTCACACTCCTCGAGGTCAGTCGAGCGACCTTAGCACCCCACAGCCCCCCATGTCCGCGCCGTTGTCAATTGTGCTGGTTGTGTTCTCTCAGGAGTTCGGTGAGTCGCTGATTGAGACGCGTTTCGGCCATCTGAGTCACGGCGACTACCGCTCGTCGGAGCTCAAGGATCTCCGCGAGGTGGGCCAGGAGGTGATCCGCAGAGCCATCCACACGATGCTCGAGGAACTCTCGTACAACCTCACCGAACAAAACCTGTACCGGTAAGCAAAACAGACAGAGAGAGCGAGAGAGAGAGAGAGGGGCACCTGCACCATCTGCTTATCTGTTTTTGTATTGGCCAGGTGCGTCGATTTCGGTCACATCTGGGGCCCGACCGTCGAGTTGTCGTCATCGCCGCCGCTCCCCCACGGGTTCGCCGTCAACATGGACATGGCCTACTGTGCATACCTCTCCTACACCAAAGGCACCATGAGCTGGGAGGAGGCCCAGCGCGTGTGGGACTGCATGGACCGCCTGGGCCTCCCCCGCAAGCACCCCTACTTTATCGACCCGGCCCGCATGCACCCCACGCTCATGAAGATGCAGAAGACCCAGGCCGGCATGCACAGGGTGCCGGTGCCTCTGGGTATTGGGCAGTACACCTTCCGCACCGACATCACGGCCGACGAGCTGAGAGAGGTGTGCCAGCAGTACGGTCAGGTGCTCATCATGGCCCCCGACGCGCCCACGCGGTCGCCCACG